TTCGAGGCATCCATATGCAGGGCCAACAGTGGAGACAGCAGGCACAGAGTCATCTCCCGATGACCCTTCTTCCCAGGTGGACCTGTGGGAAGCTGTGCAGAAAAGACCTCATTAAATCATTCGTTTGAGCCGTGTTTTCTCACCTCGTGTGAGAAGGAGCTGGGAAGCCCTGCCATCGTTAGCGCTGTCCTTCCTGAACCAGGGGAGTCTGGCAGAGGGAAGGAGTGGGACTGAAGCGCCACGTGCCTGTCATGTTAGCCGGCAGTAATTTTCCGCGGCGATGAGAAATCTTTAAGTGTCACAAATTCCAATAACTCCTTTGTGGAACGGCTAATTTGAGAGACCTCGTCTGCCGAAGGAGGTAGAGAAACGATGCGGGCAATGCTGCTCCCTTGCTCATTAGAGGCGCAACTGCTGTGTTGGGATGGGCTTTATTTTTGTCTGTGTTCGGGCAGTGCGCTGGGGCTCTCGGGAGTCCTGCGAAGCCCAGCAGAGCCCCACTACCATTTAGGCTGCACACGATGTAGCAAAGATCATCAAAGACCCAAAGAGATGACAGTGGGGCAGATGCAGGATTTGTCATTAGCCGTGTTTAACAGACGAGAAACCGAGGCAAAGAAAGATTGAGCGAGTTGTCCAACGTCATCAGAGGAGTCTGCAGAAGAACTGGACAAAGAAAAAAACTGTGGACCATATGCCTGGAAGCGAACTCCTTCCTCCGTGCAGACCCTGTTGTCAGAGTCAACCAGTTCAGGGAATCCTGTTCATAAAGGTATCAAGCTCCATTTAAACCGGATAGTTTTCCTGACCCCAGGACTTTTGTTGGAGGTCCGTTCCAGACTCTCAAGACTCTGGTGCCTTTATAATTTCCACTTGGTTTATACCCATTTGTTCTTATGTCACTATTGTCCTTAAAGAGCTCTCCTCTCTCTGCTTACTGCCCCTGAGGTATTTGTAGAGAGCCGTCAGTCCCTCCCCAAAATCTCCAGACCCCTACTCCACTCAGAGTCATAACAACGATCTTATCCAGTTCTGGATAGACTGTTTGATTGTCTTGTGAAGTGTTTTACAGTGCTTTATCTAGAGAAATAGAGATGATTAAAATCACCTTGGCACCTGCATTTGCAGGAGGGAAGATCTGAGAAGCCTAGTCATTTTCTGACACATTAAACTTCAGAAACACCAAGCCTTGTGGGGACTCGATTAACACCATTATCATATCATCAAGGGGGTCAGTCTTGAGTTGGAGGAAGCACTCAGCATGGGTGGAAAATAACCCTGGCACACTGAAGTGTTTAGCCTTAGCACTGTCTTACAAGAAGGGTCAAATCCTCTGCCATGCTGGAGGAGGAGGAGGAGGAGGCAATTAGTCTCATTGAGCCAGCAGGAGAGGGAGGACTCTGAAAAGAGTGAGGCTGTTAAAATTAAAGTTAATCTGTCACTAATCTCTGGTTATGAGATCTAAAAAGGGATGCTACTTGTGACTGACTGCAGCCCAAGGGAAGCAATGGAGGGAGAAGAAATGTTGTTTAGTAACTATAGCCAGGCTTAAGGACTTGCTTAGACCAGAGTAGCTAAAATCTGTCTGGTTACACTGATCAAGCCTCTCTTTGGACAATCTAAATTGTACTTAAAGGATTTGATCCTGTATCCCTGGCAGTAAATCACACCTCCCCTGGCTTTGGGGTGGGCTCTACCCTTGAGGGAGAGAGCAGAGCTAAGCCAAGGCACAATTTAAAACCACTGAAGTCTCCCTCCATGGGAGGGGGTTGCATAGATAGATGCAACCAGATTGATTTTGGTTAAATCGCAGCGAGTTTTCTAATAGAACTGGACAAAGTCTAGCTGTCAGGACTCCTGGGCTCTGCTCCCAGCTCGTGCGCCGTGACCTGCCATCAGTCACTTTGCCTCAGTCTCCCCGTTTGTCAGACCAGGCTAATAACCCTTTGGTGCCTCGTAGCAGGATGGCAAGCCGTGATAAGTTAATGTTTGCAAAGTACTCCGAGATCCTTATGTGACAAGTGCTTTTACCAGAGCAGCTTTAATGTTGTGAAAGGTGCCAGACTGACAGCTCTGGAGGCTGAACTTTCCCCGTATTACCTGCAGAACAAGGAGAACACCCACAGAGCCAGTGCAGCCAAACCACGCACCGCCGTGGCAGGGCACCTCCTTCTCCCAGCTTGACGTGCCACCTTGAGGGATGAGAAGAGAAATGCACGTGGAGCCCACAGCCTACGTGCTAAACTCGCCGTGCCTGGCAGCAGCGCCCTCCAGCCTGCTGCTCGGCCTCCAAAGTCAGAAGCGGTGTAGCAGCGTCTGTGAAATACTTGGCGTAAGGTAATTAGTGCAGCTGAGTGACAGGCCAGTTAGCCTGCCCGCACATTAATTATCCTGCCTGAAGCACCACACAGACACAGCTACACTGCTTGTGGTTTCAGAGCCAGCGCAGCTGTCTGAAGGGGATGCAGTAAGTTCACTATGTAAATGTGGTCTCAGAGGAAATATTCCTTCTCCGCCCCAGAGACATCTCCTTCCATCTCCTGCCTCCCTGCAAATGAGCCATCCTGGTTCTTAGTACTTCTCAGCATCCCTTCAGCTCTTTTGCATTGCCCAGTGCACTAGGGATGTGGGAAGTAGTGCAGGGAGGCAGTGTGTCTCAAACAGGCTAATGGATGCCTGAGCTTTAAGGTCGGTCAGCATTCAGAGCTGCAGCCCGGAGGGAGGAAGGAGCTTGTGTCCCTGTTCCCAGCTCCACGAGCTGCCCAGGCCTTCGTCAGTATGGCGGCATGGCTGCTCTCTTCAGACGGCATTTGCATCCAGCCTCCACGCTGAGAAGCGAACGTGAAGTTACTGGGACAGCTGTCTCCCCCCTACGCTGGAGGACAAGGGCTGCCAAGAAGAGCCGCCGAATGCTCGGGGACCATATCCTCAGCTGGGAAGCTTGGTTGGTGATGTGCCAGTTTACATCGGGTGAGGATTTGGCCTAGGCTTCACATCGCCTGCCTTCCACCTCCTCAGCTGTAATAAGATTACGCTTTGAGGAAAGAGAAATCGATTTATTCCTACCGCCCTGACAACCGTGGCAGTGCAAAAGGATAAACCTGCCTCTGAACTATAGCGTCCGAGGCTGCCTGTGTCAGTACCAGAGCACTGTGGAACCGATTCGCTTTGGTACGGTGGCAACAAAGGGTCCCTTGCAGACATCCAGGCAGGATGGGATCACCATCTATCTGCCTGGGTGAGACAACTCACTTTGGGGAGCCCAGGGACATGCCCCCTGCTCAGCCAGTGGTATGCAGAGGTCTGGGGCCTCATGGGGAGCTTTGCAGCAGGAAACAGATGCTGCCAGAGCCCCGGGGTACAGCGGATGAGACCCTGCTGCCTGCTATGTTGCCTCTCAGATGAATCGTGGTGTTCTCCTGCACTCAGGGGGAATTAGTCTCCATGTCACAGTGTCAGGTAGGAGCTATGTCTCCGTTCCATGACATTGGACAGGGTAAATTAGTTTTAAGGTAATGACCCAGATGTGTGGATAGGGTGGATTAGTCTCAGAGTGGAATTGGTGAGGCTGATGATCCCAAGTGCTATAGTTTTGGGGGTTAATTAATCTCCAGGCATTGCTGATAGAAGGGGTAGGGGAGATGAATAGCTGTGCAGTGCTGCTGGGAGAGTGGTTTAGTTTCAGAGCATGTTATTAAGGTGAAGCTGCATGGTAGGGGTTAGAAAGCATTACTGTCAGCACCATGCCACTAGGCTCTGATTGCTGATAATTTGGGGGCCGGGGTATTTGTAATACTTCCTACCAGGAGCTTTTACCCAAAAGAGCTCTGAGTACTTTATACTTAAGGATGTTGATGCTCCTTTGAGGTCAATAAAAGCCTGCACACGAGTCAGCTGAGAGGTTGAATCGCATGTCCCAGTTTCACAGCAAGTGAAAGGTAAAAGCAGGAGTCCTGCTCGCTTGCTACATGACAGCGCTTCCAGAAATTCACTGCAGCCGGGCCGGGTTTTCATGGCAGAAAATGCCTGTGCATTCACATGGGCACATATGCAGGACAAGGCAAGGCAGGAGTTTACATCTGGATAGGCTGTGGTCAGACCAGGATATAGTATTGGCCTCACCTACCTACCTCATGATAAGACCAGCACTGCCTTATGGGCACGAAATGTTTACAGCAGGATGGATGACATGCACTAGTTATCCCATAGTAAAAGCACATCTTTGGAAAGCAAAGGCGAAGTTGTAGTCTCTGTTCATTAAATAGGCCAACCCTGTGCCACAAATCAGCCTTGCGTTGTCCCCAAGTGCCTTTCTTCTCCCCTTCCCCTGTCTGATCTGCTGCTCTGCTTTCTGCTCCCAGCCCTGTGCTCCCTTCCTGATCTGCTGCTTTGCTTTATGCTTCCAACCCGATCTGCCGCCGTGCTGCTTTTCCCCTCCCTGATCTGCTGTATGCCACTTGCAGAGGCTGCCTGTGCCACAGGTTGGCCAGCTCTGAAATAGGGTACGGGTGGTCCTGCCATTATGGCTTTGCCCTCAGACACAGCAACATGGCCCTGGTGAGACAGGAAGGTCTTTGCAGCTGCTGGTGGAGAGAGGACTACTGAGAAGGATGGGCACATTTAGGTGACGTGGTGGGAGCATGTTAGGATGCTGGTTTACCAGATGCCACAGGGCCTGCCCTTTGATAAGCTCGTCCCTGAACCTCTTACAATTCAGGCCCTTGGCCACAATCTCAGTATGGATGCCGGGAGCGAGAAGAGAGTATTCTGAGTAGGGACAGATTTTAGTGTCGTAGTGCAGGTGGGGTGTGCCAAGGTTGTGTATCAGTGGATTAATCTGCCTGCCGTAATGTTAGTGGGGTACCTTGTAAAGGTAATGGAGCATTAATAAATACCTTTTCCAGGGCTGGCCTGATCGTTGTCAGTCACCGGAGCCATATGGCAGGTGCATACAGTAATTTGCACTGTAAATTTCATTATTCTGCGGTTTACCTCTACAGATTGGTCACTGGCATGTTTCTGAAGGACTTACCATGGACAACAGAATCTTCTCTTCCAACATCTCTGATAGTCTGTTCAACACCACCCTCATTGTCACGACCATCCTGGTAAGTGAGACGGTCACCTACAGCTCCCGTTAGCTCCTTTTCAGCCTGGTGTCTAGGGGTGTCAGTCAGCCAATATATTATTCCCTTCTTCCACCCCCTCTGCCCCTAGCATGCAGCATTGCACACTGATTTCATAAAGAACAGACGATCAAATCTCTAATTACAGCACTGAGGACAATTCATGACAGTATAATTAAACTCAAGTTGATGTTTCATATGGAAATGATATTTGATGAGTTCAGAAGCAGCTGGGGAGAGAGGACTGTGATGGGGATATGTTGCATTTTTAAATTCATCTCTGAATGATGTTCTTGTTCTGTATACAGCTGGTAGGTGGGGAGGGATGGTTGTCCCTTCAATCCATAAAATTACTGAGCATGAATAAGATGGAGACAGTTGTCATGACCTGGAATTGTGCATGTGCAGGTACCAGGGTCCTCACCCCATAAAGCCCCTGTGCTGCCCACCTCCCTTCCTATACTCTGAGAATAGGTATAGCCTAGGCCCTGAGAATCGTCTCCACCATGCCACTTTGTTTTTGCCAGTGTCCCTTTTCACTTGCACACCCCTGGAGTCAGTTCCCTGGGGCCAGCTGAGTTAGGCTCTACATGAGGCACAGATTAGAGTGGAGGTGACTTTTTTGTTACCCTTCTGCCCACCCTCCAGTCCAGGGCAGATGGCAGCCAAGTTGATGCCCTCAGTAACAATTAGAACAGCCTCAAGGCTGCTCTAAGTTATGCCAGGTTCAGGAATCATAAAAAAGCAGGGCTGGCAGGGACCTCGGGAGGTCATCTGCTCCAAACTCCTACTCAAGGCAGGATCATCATTCTCTAAACCATCCTAGTCACCTGTTTCTCTAACCTGTTCTTAAAAACCATTGGAATAGACCATTTTTCCAGTTCAGGATGGCTGGCCCTTCAAACTACTCCTTATGTCAGGTTAGATCAGTCATGTCTATAGATTTTGTCCAAGGATTGCTGGTGTGGAACTGCATACATTAGCTTTCCACTCCCTTGGGATTTTGTAATCGCAAGTGAAATCCCCAGTCGGTGTCCGAAGTAGACTTTCAGTCCCCCTTGTACCTCCCTTCTCCACGGGGAATGGAGCAGGTCTAAAATCTGGCCATTGCCCTTGTCATTTACTCCCCGGTAAACCCCCCTCGTGTCCCCTGCTCTCCGAGTCATGCTGTATTCAGTGCTGTTGGGCTTCCACGGTTAAGATGGGAATGACAGCTGCCCAGTTTCGATGCAGGAAAACCCTTACTTAATGCTGAAGTGGAACCACCAGGAGCTGGAGGGAAATGATCGCTATGAAGGCTTTTGTGTGGACATGCTGAAGGAGCTGGCAGAGATCCTCCACTTCAACTACAAGATCCACCTCGTTGGGGATGGGGTGTATGGTGTGCCCGAGGCTAACGGCACCTGGACTGGCATGGTGGGGGAGCTGATTGCCCGGGTAAGTGAGACATCAATGGTTTTTAACCTCGATCGCAGTGCAGTAACTCAACACTAAAGAGCCCCAATACCTATAAGCGTTTCTAACATGACAGGGCCTGTGTTTTTACTTAGTGTATACGAATCTGATGTGAAAAGCTGCATTGAAAGTATTTCCAGATTTCTAAGCACATGTTTAGTTCACTGTGGCCGCTTCTACATGAGCAGCAGACTATGCAGTGGTGACTGCGCAGTCATCTAGTACTTGCCTACCCAAATACTACATGATTGTGCAGTAACCGGTGTTACTGCACAGTAGCATCCCTGCATTTCAGATGCTACTGCTCAGTAGCAACGAGCTACTGCGCAGTAGCTCATTACTACTGCACAGTTGCATCACATCACAGTTAGTGCCTGCCAACACTACTGCACAGTAGGTCATTGCTACTGTGCAGTAGCATCTTGTGTAGACGCACCCAGGGACAATGTTGGTAACAGAACAGGAGTTTGGGCTCTTGGTTTCTAGCCCTGGGTCTGGCGAGGTGGCTGCCACAGGGGTCTGCGACCTGACACTTGTGGAGAGTTGTTTGGAAAAGGACAACTCCCCAAATGGAAATCGTGGGGGAAACGGGGGGAATTGTTCAGTTTCTAGGTTAGCCAGAGACTTGCTGTACGTGTGAGCTTAGGCAGGCCATGTCACGTCTCCATTCTTCAATGTGCCTTTGAGACGAATGGGAAAATAATGCTTTCTGAGGGATCCTGAGGCTTAAATGTGGTTTGTAAGACAGCTTTAGTGTCCTTATTGAAATGAGCTACGCAAGGGCAAATTATGAAGATAGATGTTATTGCAACCAATATTTGTTTGCTGTGCGGTTTGTGTACTTCCTTGTTATTATAGGGGTGTATGAGAGAACCAGATTGCAGCGCCTCAGCAGGTGTGAATCAGCATTAAAGTTAATCTACCTATAATTCTTACACATCCACATCACTATAGCATCTGAGCACCTCATAATCCTCAACATATTATTTTCCCAATGGTAGGGAAGTACCATTACCTTGAGGCTTGGAGAAACAAGGTCACATGGGATGTTTATGGCAGAGGAAGGAATTAAACTGGAGACTCCCACATCCCAGGCCAGCACCCTGTCTCTTGGGCTTCATGTTCTCCCCATGGGGCTCTGCCTACTGACACCAGCCGAGGTCCTGGCCCCCTCTTTATTACTTTTTCTTTCAGTTTGTTTGCAAATGCTCTGGACTGTTGGCATAGTTTTTATACATGTGGGACTGCACATAAAAACCAATCTGCATTATGTCTTTGGGGTAGAGAAGAGCAATGCACACAAAGCAGCGTGTGATCTCTGCAAACAAAGAGAAGAAACAAGCCATCAAATTTTTGGCCTACTAACCTTGACAGTATAAATGGTAGCTGCTGATTTTTTTTTAATTTTATTTTTTTTGGCGGAGATAAGTGTTTTAACCTCATCTTCATGGAGAAACGGGGGTTTCATACCTTGCTTAACCTTGTTCAGAAGGTGTTTGCTCCTGTTTGAGCAAGACAGTGTTGGAGAGAACTGAGAAAGACCCAGGTAAAAACTGGGGAAGACAAAAAAACTCATGTGGTATGTTCGCCGTAGGCCTGCTCCAAAGCCATTGGAGTTGACAAGAGACTTTCAGATGGCTACAGTGTGCTTTGGATCAGACCCTGTCACCTTCCCCCTCCCAGACAGGGCAGGATTGTTCCCTATAGTATAATACTGTTCATGAGAAACCAATAATAAGAACATCTCACGAATAATCTGGGGTTTGCTGCCACCAACCAGCCCAGCCCTGAGACGCACCTCTCTGCAGACACACTTTCATAAATGTTTAAAGACAAGGAGGACCTTTCTGAGCAACCGGTGCAGGGCAGGGGCTGCAGCCTATGTGAAGCACTGTGCTGGGACTCTGAAGAGCTAAATTCTGTTCCTAGTTTTGCTTTTGGCCTGCTGACGATGCTGGGCAAGTCACTCTCTGTCTCTGTGCCTCAGTTTCTTCCTCTACTAAATGGCGATAATGATTCTGACCTGTTTTGGAAAGCACGTTGAGAACGAGGGGTAGAAAAAACTAAACAAGCACAAGATATAATTAATTATTGTCTAGTCTCCTTTTTGGCATTACAAAGGCTGTAGCTGTTCACCTAGAGATTCTGGCTTGAAGCTCATTGCTCCTGTCTAAATTGTGCCTGCTTTAAAGAGTTTGCTGGGACCGCTACAGTGATGTCTGTAATCTGGAGACAGCCACCATTGCCTGCTACTTGAGTACCACTCACTTCCAAAAGAGCTGAAGTATCCTGGCCCAGCACTTAATCTCTGTTCAGAAGAAGTGTTGGAAGAGCTGCTTAGCAAAACTGAGGCTCATTTCTCAGAAGCACCAGGGTTTGCATCTCATTAATATTCAGGGAAGCACCCAAGCTTAGGTTTCTTACTGAATTAGACTTTAGTCATTTATGTGCATGCAACTGGGTGGTTTTTGGTTTGTTTGGTTTTTTCTGTCCCTTTTAAATAAAACATACACTTCTGCACGGTGAATACAATTGCAAAACTCCCTGCTTTGTATGACAGCTGCTTCTCACCGGCCTGATCCCTATACCAACATCTGCAAACTTTCTGGGGCACTCAAAAAACAAAGCCCTACTCCTGCAAATGCTTTTGCATCCAGTTCATCACTAGCCATGCAGTGATGCCACTGAAGGAGTATCTTTGCTGGTCTGGTAGGTGAAGAGGGGGGCTTCAGCACCTGTAAATAAATAGTAGTAAGAACATAGAGCGCAAATATCAGACCCCGGGGGTCCCTGCACACTGGATAAAGGGTTTGAGTGGTGTAGCAAAGCCTTACAATCCTTTTATTGAACTGAGAGTGGGCCGCAGATATGAGACTGCCCTCTGATTATGATGCCCCCTGCCCTGCCCCAGAAGGATTCTGGAATTGGAGGTAGGGGAACAAGGGGTGAGGTGCTCCCAGGATGGAGAGTCCACCACCTCTCTGGGGAACCTGCTCTAGTGCTTTACTTTCCTCCTAATAAGAAAGCTTTTCCTAATGTCTAACCTATACTTCCCCTCTTATAACTTGAGCCCATTGCAGCCTCACCAGAGCTGAATAGAGGGGAACAATCACTTCTCTTGATCTGTTGGCACCGCTCCTGCTAATGCAGCCCAGTATCCTGATAGCTTTCTTGGCAACAACGGCCCATTGCTGGCTCATATTCAGTTTATTGTCCACTGTAAACCCCAGGGCTATCTCTTCACTGGTTGCTGCTTTATCCATCAAATTGGCTTGCCACCCTACAGCCATGGCTAGCACATAGAGCTGCAGCAGAAGGCAATGCATTGGATTGCTTAGGCAATGCTATGCTATTGTTAAAGGGTGATTCCTTTCTGACCCTGATCAGTTAATAGTCAAAGACATGAAATGTGATTACCATGCTCTTTGTCCGCATAACTAGAAAGGACATAGAATTATCTAGGCCTGTATTATTATCCTGTCACAGTTTTGGTCTTGATAACCCATCCTGGGGCACTGATTCCCCATAAAGTGACTATGGGTTGTTGGGGGGGAAAAAAACCGTATTTTATTTTATTGCTTCTAAATTAACCAGCCATTGATTTATTCTTAAGTGCTGGAAATTCTATTACCGCTAATTGTGCTATATAATATGATTGAAAAGAGATGCTATATAAATACAAATTTGTTGTTGACCCAAATACACAAGTGCATATCTTATCGACCTGCGCGCAGAGCTAATTAAGAGCGAACGCACGCCAGGAGTGGATGGCCCTGGGGATGAGTGAAAGGGCTATAGGTTCCTTCACTTCTAGGTCAGCAGCTGGTTTGGGTCAGCAGACACCCAACGTTGTTACCATCTAATGGGACTTTGGCTTCAGGGGGAAACAGATTTGGAAAGCTCAGGCCAAATCTTGGCTGAAATCACAATGTTAATTGGGCCCTTTGTGAATCGAGCAGTGAATGAGTTGGGAAGGCCAAGCTCCTCTCTCCTCCCTGGTGGTGGGTTCAGGAGGGGAGCCCCTCAGCGGATAGCGTTGTGACCCCTCTCCCTGCCAAACCTGCCATGGGGCTAGATAGAAAGTTTCAGACTCCATCAGTTTGACTGGTGCCTTGGACAAGCACTAACTGTAACAAGGAAACGTGAAAGAACAGCAAATCTTCCACGTTTCGTATTATTTGGTGCCGCAGCCTTCAGGGACAATAGGGATGGGCTGAAAGAATTATGTCTCACTTTTTCCCTTTACAATATAGTCTCTCACTTTGAGTCCCTCATGGTTTTCTCTCGCTTGCTCGTCCTCAAGCTGGAATGTATTTGTTAGCTTGATACAAGCCACTAAATGTATTTTCAAGGCAATGTGAAAGCTTCTTCTTTATTCTGATACAACTGTCTTTGCTGCCTTTGGCCGTGAGTTTCTGGCTATGCTCAATGTGTCTTCATAGTGTCTGGGCATCAACTTGTGATGAAACTTCAGTGATTAACTCTGTCACTGCTACAGCTCTAAGGAGCAGAGATGGTTTGGAGAGAGTCTTTCCCAACAGCTGCCAAAACCACCTGTCTTGAAGTCCTTGTCTTCCCAAAGTGCAAGGCTAAGCTATGGAGCTAGGAGATTTTTTTACTGTGCAACCCAGTCAGTAGGGAACTATGCTGCAGCATAGCTATAGCTACCATCCCCTAGCATTCATCAGGTTCTTCTTTTTTGTACTGTAGTACACGAATCCCAAAAGGCCCCAGTCAAGAGCAAGAGCACTGGTGCATCAGAGGCTGTAGAGACATGGAGTAGCACATACAATAGGCTAACAAGAAGATGCAACAAGTTAATGGAGTGGTTGGGTTGGGTTGGGGCAGGTAACAATAAGACAAACAAGTTCCTGTGCAGAGTACTTGCACACCCAATCAGGCTGTCAGCGGCTGCTCTCCGTCAACTGATAGTAGTCTGTAGGTATCACTTCAATCATCTCTCTCAAATGTCCAGTAATGGG